CACCAGCTTATGACCCTGAAATAGAACAACAAAGTCATATAATAAGAACTATTACTTTGATAAATGGTAAGAGCAGCACAATTTAGGAAATATGCAATAAAGTTAACCCCAGTATTTTCCTTTAACGTGGTTAAAGCGCAAGACACTGTGCCTGCAGATTTACTGGGGACTGAACTGATTCAAAGTACAGAGGAGGAACACAACATGTTTGTGCTGTTCAGAATGGTTATTTTGGGTGAAACTGTGAAACCCCATACCATCAAACATGAGGAAAACACATTTGCAGATGAAATTTCATTATAAGTGAGTTTTGATTTTAATTATGTGGATATACTTAATGTTTGAACCATTTAATAACCAGATTGCCTGTTAATAAAGGAGGTCATTATAGCCATATCAGATGTACAATGCTTTGCCCCCAACACACTCCGCCGCCCACACCACTTATACCTTTACCTTAACCCTTCTTCTAGGTGAAGTCAGGCTCTAACATAGTGTGTGTTGGAGCTGCAACATTTAGCTCAGTCAGTTGTTTACTGAGAGAAAATTAATCTGCAAATAACTATTAATGATTTAGAGACATATTTTATATTTTAAAGATAAAATGCCAAAATCTTCTCGGTCCAGCTTCTCAGACGTGTATGTTATGGTTTCCTTAGTCTTCTATTAACATAAATTGAATAATTTGGGGTTTTGGACTGTTGCTGGCACAGAACAAGATGTGCTGATATCATCTTGGGATTTGGGAATGCGACAGGCACTGTTTCAAAATTTTAAACAAAAAAACACATTTATGAATCAAGAATGGTTTATTGATAATTAATAATTGTTAGTTGCAGCATGTGAACACTGGAATTATGGTAGAGTTTAATGCTGGCAAACTATGAAAAACACAAAAGATGCTGGAATTATTGATAGGCCACAGATACTAAATTAAATTTATGTCATAATTTTAAACCACTGAGGAGGATTGATCAATAAAGAAAAACCCAAATTTTACCATCTGAAATTCCTTGAGAAATTCTATTGAGGAATATGGATTTTGCTGAACTGAAAGAATGTAATTTTATTCTAAAATGAGTAATAGCACTGTATTAGATGCTATGGATAGTGGTGTAAGAAGAATTCAATAACTGTGTCTTGAAATAAAGTTAACTTGAGCTTAAGGGTAGGGTCTCTCTCTTTCTCTCTTACACACACACACACACACCTACGCATACGCAAACTCACGCCCACACACAGATCTCACTCACCTCCCACCTTTTCTAATGGGATCCCAGGAATCGAGGACATCATCAGGCGGTCCGGGAGGTTGCAGGAGCCGGTCGCGTCATCCCTGGATGGGCGGCGCACTGAGCGGAGGACGGAGGGTGTTTTCCAGCTTTAAAAGAACCGAAGCCGGCCCCTCTGACAAAGCGCGCTGCGTCATCGACCTGGGGAGACTCTTGGAAACCTTGACTGGGCTGAAGACAGCCAAACTCACCTCAGCCACGGTCCCCTCCGCAGCCTCTACCTGCGCGGGTCTCCAGTAGCCTACAGCATTCACTACTTTGGTGCTCGCGCTTCACCTCGCCGTGGCTCCAAGTCGCACACTCGCTTTGCTTTACTTTCACTGCGAATTATGCTTTTATTTAATGCTGTATGAAGTGAACCGATTCTTGCAATATTATCATCAGTGAAGGTGTTTCTTATTAGTGTCACAGTCGGAGAAAACTGAGCGTCGCTTGTTGAATGCAGGATACCCTCTGCCTTAGTGTCAGATCCAAGTTCAGGTTTGGAGAAATAGCCGGTAAGGAGTTGTCAAGTCTCTGGCCGCCGATATGACGTCTGCAGAAGAAGGTAAAAATATAATGTCAATCTCTCTCTCTTTCTCTCTCTCCCTTTTGTGAGTTTGCTGTGAGTATTCTGTGTAGCTCTTCTTCTCTGATTTGGAGATCTGTTGACACCAGGTGCTTCAGCTCAGGCTAACTGATTCCAATCTTATGCACTACTATAAAGTAGACTTGTCAGTTTTTTAAATGTCTAAATAGATAAATATGTCCATCTGCAGATATCTTGGAACAAACCTGAGCAACAGATGATTAATTTTTTCTCTTTAATTATCTCATAATACAGTTTAAAACGACTACACAAGAAACATCTTTAAATTCTCCTTTAATGTATTATTTTCTAAAGATGTCACCAAATACCCTCCAAGAGATCTTTTATTTGTTTTTTGCTCTAAGCGAGGATCAATTTAGCACTCAGGAAAGTACTGTATATATTTTTATGTATATCAGTTCTACATCCACGCCATTAGGTGTCTCCAGCTGACTTTACAGGTGCTTCACATTCTGTGCAATGTCGGTGAGGTGTACTGTTGCTGTCACCTGCACTCTTCTTGATAAGAGGTTCATGTCAACCTTAACTTTTTTCTGATATTGAAATGAGTGGGAATTGTCTAATCCCCCAATGTACAGAGAGGTCAGAGGTCAGGGGTCAACTGTACACTAGATTAACCCTAAGGAGTTGCTAAGGGTTTTGTGCTTTGCTTAGAGACACTTAAAGTTTAAGGTCTTTGATTCAGCATATATGGTAGCAAAATCTACTTTGGCCCATCAGAAATCACTGATAGTGTGGCTTGTCTTGAGTCACAGAGTATTTCAGCACTGATGTCACTGGCTTTTTTGGGATTTTGGGAATTTCATTTAATCTTTGAGGTTTCAGATGTACGGGTGCAGACTGTATTACTATTCATTTCAGTCCCTTAGTCCTAAGCCTTATAATTGGTAACAGACCTGTGTGTGTGTGGGAGTGAAAGAGAGAGAGAGAGAGACGTGATCTGTTTGTTCAGGGATGCCGAGTAGCTTGCTTGACAAGGAGATGTGCTTAACCACACACAGCTTGAGCAGTATGCACAGGGCTGCTTTATTATTCTACATAAAGACGTATTACACATAAAATACACTCAAATGCATGGACACACTATCAGAGGCACACACACACACACACACACATATCCTCTACTGGTGCTCTGCCATAGCCCATAGTCAGCCATGTGCGATAAGTGGGTTCTTAGTTCCAGGCTGCTGCTGACTTTTGTGGGAGACCACCTATCTTTCCTTGAGGGCCCGTCAGTCTGAGCCCAGCCTAGACCACAATTCCTGTGGATAAATCCATCCATTCTTTAGTCATGCTGGTTTAATTGTGGACAGAGAGTGTTTTGATCACAATAGCATAATTGAGAAAAAATTGCGGAGGACAGAGAGAGCGTGCTGTAATCTGTGTGATAGTTTCAAATAAACTCTGCATACGCCACATTTTCAGTGCACTACAAACAAATGTAGAGGCATTGTCTTGACTACAATAGTGAGACATTTTATTTTTGTTTCATTTGTCACCTCACAAATTTTGATCTGATATCATTTTGTCACTTCAGCTGACATGATGTGTGCGACACGTTTCAAGATCATGCAGCAAACAAGAGTGAAAGCCCCATTGTGTTTGCGTGGGTGTTTGAAAAAGTGAAGTATGTTTCAGTGCAGTGCGCTGATCACACACATATTCAAAAGGGAAAAAAAAGCCACAACTCTAAGCAAAGTCAGTCAGGCCTGAAGTAAAGAGGTGTGTCAGACCGGGTGGAGTGGGTAGGAGATTATCATCTGTTCAGCACTAGAAGAGAGTAAACCAAAGGAGAATTAGACAGACTGAGCTGAAGACATCCTAGTTTTTTTTATGTTGAAACTCAGTGTAGAACCTCTGGGATGAAGATGAGTTTCCAGCATGAAGAGCAAGAGTTTGATTTCAGCTATGTGTTTGAGTACGGCCACAGTGAACCTGAGAGAGGTGGGTGCTGAAGAGCAATGGAAGGTTTCTTTTCTAGTCTAGGATCATGAAAAAAAACCATGTTTGTTCTGTGTAAAATGGCTGTGATAGATGCTAATGTTTAGCATTCTACTATCTTAACAATATCATTTTTAAAAACTTTTTGATTAACTTTCTTAAGTCTATATTTTGTGTTTCCTTTTGTTTAAAAGATTTCAGATTGAATTTTGTATATTATGCTTGGACATTATCTATTGGTCACCTATTAAAAGTGCTGTAGGCTTCACTGAACTTGTGGTATACTGAACATAACATAATCATGTCTAAAAATAGACTGTCATAAACTGCCTACCCACATGTTATGTAGTGTTTGACAGATTCCTCATTTCGTGTGATGCACCGGTTGTGGTTAACAAATATAGCACACTGGATCCAGGGGAATGCCCTTCACTGAGTTTCAGGCCACATGATGAGCATTCTGTGATCACTTTTACCTCCAGTGATATTGTCAGTAAAAGGCAGACATAAGGTTTACAACTGGTGCCACTGCAGCCACTGTCAACAAGGTGAACTAAAGCGACATACCTGCCAGGCTGTATGTGCACTCACTGACTGAGTTTGTATGTTAATACACTTGTCTGCCCGTGATTTCCTTGTGTGCTTACTTGTGTGTGCTCTTTGTGTGTGTGTACCACAGTGCATCTGTGTGTAACATTGCAGCAAACTCTCTTTGACATAATCACAAGCTCTGAGCGATGTGAGTGCTGTCAGTTTTCCACAGGGGAGGGTCTAATTCACTCAGTGAGTGATGCAATCAATCAAATCACGCATCCATCAGCGCTACTGGACGAATTCCTGTAGAGTACATATGACAGCAGGGTGTGCCAAATAGAGCCTTAGATGAACCGATCAAACAAACAGAGTGGCTGTGCAACTTGCAAATACGCAGAGACCACATACAATAACCGCTTTGAGGTAATTGCTAAGCTTCCTAAGATGTTTATACAGAAGGGAATCAGTCACCGCAAGACATATTTGTGAGATTTGCATAGGGGTATTCAAAAATAAGGGTTATTTATCACCATAATGTCATGGTTCTGACAATCTGCCATGGCATGTATATACAATCCCTCCATATTCTTAGAATATACTTGTCTTTTTTACTTTATTTTATTTTATTTTTCAGATGCATACAGCTACACACCAAATGTCAGCCTGTCCCTACCGCTGGGCATGGGAAATCCTTGTCTGGGGACCCAGTACCACACCTTACAGTCCAGCCCGGTCATCTCAGTTTCCTCTTGCCACCAGACAGGCTATACCCTCCAAAATGACAACAATGCAGCATCAGGCTATTACCTGCACCATGGCTTGAGACCCAGTGGGGCCCCAGCCCTGGAAAGCCCCCGCATTGAGATCACTGCCTACAGCCAGTACCCTGAGGATGAGGTAGAAGAGAGCAGCAGTGAGAACCACATCATCAAACGAGGCGTTAATTCCATTGTGACACTGACACTGCCCAATGCTGAGTTCTACCGTGATCCCAGCTGCCTCAGCCCTGCAAGCAGCATTTCCTCACGCAGCTGTAACTCGGAGGCATCCTCCTACGAGTCTGGTTTCTACAACTATGACAACTCCCCACAGAACTCCCCGTGGCAGTCACCCTGTGTTTCTCCTAAAGGCTCATCCTTACTCCTGTCCTGCCCACATGCCAGTGGTCCAGCAGGATCCCCTCACCGTTCTCCCTCCACCTCCCCTCAGATAGGAGCCATGGCTGAGGAAGGCTGGTCGGCTCAGCCTCGTGGCTCCAGACCTAACTCCCCGTCCTGCAGTGGAGGTGGTGGAGGCAACGGTGGTGGTGGTGGTGGCATGGGAAAGAGAAAGTATAGCATTAATGGCGCTCCCTACCATCAGACATCCTGCTCACCTAACCATTCTCAAACCCCCTCTCCACATGGTTCACCTAGAGTCAGCATAACTGATGAAAACTGGCTGGCCAACACCAACCAGTACACCAACTCTGCTATTGTGGCCGCCATCAATGCTCTAACCACAGATGGAATGGTAGACATGGGAGAGGGAATCCCCATCAAGACACGGAAGACCATGCTGGACCATTCATCCTCCATGAGCCTGAAGGTGGAGCCTGGTGGCGAGGAGCTGGGTCCTGATGGGGAACTCTGCCATGAAGACTACCCCTCCCGACTGGCCCTCAAGAAGGAGAACCACTGTGGGGGGTTCCTGGATGTTCCCCAGCATCTGTACTCTTGGTCTAAGCCCAAGCCTTACCTAAGGTGGGTGGAGCTGCACTGGCTTTTGCTGTGTCAAACAAACTCAGTAGTCCTGTACCAAATTTAATTCTACAAATCCACAAGATTTTTCATGAAATGTCAAATTTGATTGAACCAGTCAATGTAAAGCCAACCCAGCAATCTTGGATTTAAATTGCTTTGAGGAGACAATGAAGTTTTTATTTAGACAGATTTATGATTTCTAACATTCTGCCTAAGGGCTGTTATGTTCCAGACAATGCAAAACATTCCATCCAATAGTACCAATGCTGAACTCTGTTGTTGTTGTTTATTTTTCACATTTAGTGTTGTTTATTTATTGCAAGGACAAGACTGTTTTAGTTTTTAATCTTCAAGAGCCATATTAAAATGTGGAAATCCAAAAGTTTCATGCCCTTCACTTCCAGAGCAGTTCTCTGTGAAGATCAAAACTATTTCATAAATCATATTTCACAGGGATGGGTTGCCCACCACTCAACAATGTCATTGATTTTTTACATTTTCAATCGTGCCCCTTGTGGCATTTTCGGAAGTAATGATGACAGGCCTGGCTGAAGGGGAAGCAGTCTGTGGGTTAATCAGCCGGCTTGCTACTCTGGTCTGTCGCGCCATGAGCCCATCTTTTTTTGTGGAGCTACCATGATGTCATGCACTGACCAGGCAGATAAAGCCCTGTGGGGGAAATCAGTTCGCTTTGGGTCAACAAACAGTTCCACAAGTTCCACAAAGATGCCAGAGATTGGTTTCAGTTGAGTCACCTTTCAGGTCAGGGGTTCGCGTTTAACAGGCATCCGGCATAGAGAAATATTGCCTTGCAAATGTTTGTTTTGGTTTAGATATCTCCACGCTGTTCACATGGGAAGCACTGACTCTCCATCTCGAGAACAATGATGTTAAGGGAGGACTGCTCTGAGAAAGAGATATCATGCTTGAAGGCACGGTGTGCTGCTGACCTTATTCCACTGTGGCTCTCCATTGTGTCAGTACTAGCATGACACTGTTTGAGAATTTTACAGTTATGAAATTGGAATGGGCAACAATTACTACAACCATGACCAAGACAGCCTGATTGCCACTTTATGTGAGATTTGTTTTTGTGCCATAGGAATGTCTCCTCCCACTGTCACTTTCTTAAGTCCCATATCTGTTTCCACCTGTCACGCCATAATATAAAACACACTGCTCGTTAACCAGGGCACACATGTCTCTTATTTATTTTCATAAAAAAGAAGGACCATAAATTATTGTCCAATGTCAAGGAGTTACACACCTCAATGAATTATTTCAGTTGGCTAGATTATACACCACGGTGAAATGGAGAATCATCAGCCCAGTTGGATTACACTAAAATGTTGCAGTTTGAGGGTAAGCAAAGAAGTTTAAAACTTTCTGATTTAGATATCATTGGCAGTGAACCATGGAAAAACTTTGGCAAATAAAATGTGACTTAAGCTTTAAGAGCAAGATAAAACAGAGGACTGGAAATGTCATATACTGTGCAGCCTTTCCTGTCTTTTAGGAAAAAAAAAAACAGAAATTGACCAACGTGACTGTTGTTACACTAATTACTGGTGCAGTGAAAAGGCTGATATTTTGTTCATTGTTATACTAACAACAACCAATGTGTAATTGTATTCCAGTCCATCTCTGCCAGCTCTTGACTGGCAGCTCCCGTCATGTTCTGGCCCATACAACCTACAGATTGAGGTGCAGCCAAAGTCTCACCACAGGGCCCACTATGAGACTGAGGGCAGCAGAGGGGCCGTGAAGGCCTTGTCTGGAGGACACCCTGTAGTACAGGTATGTCTACCAGCAACTGATTGTGAATCCAATCTTTAAAAATGTCTGCACATTACTGTTTTAAAGATGAGTATTGCACGTTTAAACAGTGTAATAGGCGCTGTCATGACAACAAGACTATAATGTGCTCTTGCTGTCGTTTTTCATTTTTATTAATAAATTTATTTTTATTTTAAGGTTCTAATTTTTCACTTTCTTTTATTTGCTTATGTGATTTCCTCTCAAGCTATTAAATTGTAATGGCCATTCTTGAGAAATTATATTTGACTCATCTAACATACAAAAATCCATCTGACTTGAGCAGTGTGTTTGTGTCTATTAAACTTTACATCATAAATTAGAAACCATTGTGAAAAGAAACTAAAAGTCATAATATTTTATTTCAATATTAAGTGTGTCATTACATTTTTGTTTCAAACTTGTCAGGATAACTAGATTTTAAAAACCCTTAGGCCTTTTCTGCAACTTTTACTGTAACAGCAGCAGTATAAACACTCCACAGTCTGAATGTTTCTGTATGTGCTTGTATGCTGTGTTATTAATGTTCCCTGAAGCCAGGAGTCAATCCACTGCTGTAAAAGGTCTCACCGGCAGCAGTGCACACTGACTCAATTAGTATAGAGCAGAACCATCGCCTCTCACTATTGTACTTGGCAAACACTTAAAGAGCTCACATCAGTCTCACGAGCAGCACAAGGCAGAGCTGCCTTCTCTGCTACACTGTCATCACACTGCACTGGCATGCATCATTTACTCAGGGTGGAGATTTAGCAGTGTGTGCGTGTCTTCAAGGCTGAGGGTCGGTTTTCCTATAATGTAGGCAATTTAAACTGAAATTGCATTTAACCTAATAATTACAGGGGTGCTCATTTTTTAAAATTTTGTCAAAGAGTTTTGATGGCAGGTGTTCTGTTTATCAGGCAAAATGGCAGCCAAAACAAACGCTGCAGAGAAAACATTTTTTGGAAAGTACAGTTTCGGGTTGGTGGTCCAACTGTGCCACTTCACTTCACATTCATTGTTGTTAGGACCACAGCTGTTTTGTAAATAGATGTTGTCAGCACATCCTGGTCTGCTCTGTGTCAAATACGCTTGACAGCTGCTGGTGACAGCAATGCGTTGGTATAAACAGGCCTGTCAACCTTTAGGTTTTCTCTGTAAATACAGGTAATTATTCCCTTCATTACGGACTTGTGTATAACAACAGATGGGCAGTTCAATGTGTTATCCTCACGCCTCCCTGAGAAGCTGACCTGATTTAGCCTGTCTTGCACAACTGTGGCAGGTGAGACTAGTTTTAATTTAGTTTATGCCACTTACTGACTCACCCAGTTGGCCGCTGCAAAAGTTCATGAGTAAGCGTCCTGTGTATCTTTGCATACACCGTGTTGCCCAGATTTAGATTGATGACTTGGGTTGTTTAGTTTATTCTACAGCCAGATTATTACCAACTTTGCAAAGATGCTTTCAAGTCCCACTATGTACGTTGAGCAATCATTAGTAGGTAGTAGTCATGGAGAAAATATGATGACAGCTGATTTAGCACCACACCTCCCCACTTCACACATAGCTCACATTTCACTCTTACTTCTTGTTGAGGAGTAAATTGGGGTATGGGGGGGGGGGGGTGGAAATTACTGGAAGCATGGCAGAAAGATAAATCTATAAGGATTAGCTAGTCGTGTACAGGACGCGCTAGAGGGGAAGGTATAAAAGAAGAGCGTTTACTGTACATGCAGTGGAGTTTTGCACACTTTGAGTAAAAAAACATGTCATATGTTCTTCACCACTCTCCTGGTCTTTGTTGTAGTGCTGGTGTATTTGTGGAGGATAGGGCATGCTGTAGTCCCCAGTGCCTTGTGGTAATGAGTGGCAGGCAGTAGAGAGGTGATGTGCAGTCAAGGAGAATGAGTCAATAATGACATGGGGGCACAAGCGTAGGAAGCACCTAAGGATGTGTCTCTGTGTGTGTTTGTGCGTAAGATCAGATCAGGTAGAGAGAGAAAGAGAGAGAAGGGACAGAGGGAGTCACCAGGCAGCTGGAGCTTGGCTTGACTGCCCTCTGGAGATGCTCTGAATCCTGTTGATTAGGACCTGGGTGGCCCTGAGGTTTGCTGAGCATGGCAGTGACTGGGGTGCTGTGGTGGGTGTGGTGGTGGCCCACCCCACCTCCTCTTTCACGCACCATTGCCTCACTCCCTCTCTAGAAGGGCCTGAGGACGTCGCTCCCTGTAAACCATTCATCCTTCAACCAGCTCCCAAACCCACACCAGTATGTTTCCCTCAGTTGAAGCTCAGTCATCCACAGCTTTATTGTTTTTTTAAGCTCTGGATGATCAGACTCACAAGAAGTGAGTGATGGTGACATATGTGTTGTAAAGCAACATTGAAGGAGAGGCGGCTAGGTGAAAAACAGCATTTCTATGTGTCCCCAAAAATAGACAGCAGCTCACAGAGACTTAAAGCAAAATGTCCAACTGCTCATTTACTGTTATTTTATTCAGAAACAAGCAGTGGTGTCCTAAACACAGGGAAGTCCAGCATCTCTAAGGTCAGGATATCCACCACACAGGATGGATAGCTTGTGGAGTGAGTCAGTGGGGAGCCGTGCACAGATGAAAACCTCTAGATTATGGGTTACCTCGCCTCATTACCCCTCTGCTTCTTGCACCGGCTCTCTGTGTCATTTCTTCTGGACTCACACTCTGTTGTTCCCTCCCCTCCTCAGCATCCACAGCCTTTTAACCTTCTCTCTCACTACTGGTCCTCTTTGTGACCCTGTGGCTGATTTACCACTTTATTTACTGCAACAGACCACAGCACCATTAAGGGGATCTAGGTTACTCTGCTGGCTCCTCTCACCCTGTCCCAGATGCTCTGCTCTCTCACCACAGTTATGTGGTCTACAGGATGACTTTTGAAAATCGACAACCTGATCTACCTTCTTTCATAATGCTGCCATGACACAGAGAGATGGAGAACAGCGGCTAAAAATTGTTCTCAATGAAGAATATAGTGACCAAGGACATGACCCAGCTCTGACCGAAAATGTGAGTTCAGTTGAAGATTTAACCTCAAGTTTAACCTCCATCGGGAAACAGAAGCAAGACATCCACCAGGCCCTTGGTAACAGCAGACAACAACACTGGCGGAATATCAAAGCTTTTGTGCAGCACGCAGCACAGTTCTGCATATGGCTAGTTTGTGTAAGATAATGATTGGCCTGTAGGGCTTTTTTCATTCACACATACACTCACTTTCTCACCTGCTCTCCCATTAAGTAAAAAAGCTGCAACAGACAGGGTGTAACTTCATCAAGATGTGGCTATAATCCATATTAACAATGCACGACTTAATACCCAACTCCCTTTC